TTCCTATCCAGCCTGTCACACCTTAAAGGAGCTCTGTTGGTGATGGGACCGAGGGGGGGGGGGGGGCCCTGGGAAGAGGGGGAGGGGGAGGGCTCTTCTTCCGAGTCACCCCCAAACCCCGTCAGCCCCGATGCTCCTTCCTTTCGGCAGGAGCCTGGCAGGGCACAACTGACCAAGAAGACCCTGGCATTCGCAATCACACACACACACAAATGAAAAAAAAGGCAAGAGGTGGACTTGACTCAGGCCATGCAATGGTCCCCCCCCCCTCTTCTGCACCCCTTTTTTTCATTTGCCCCAGGATGGTTGGTCCCCTTGAGGCGGGCAGGCGGGGGGGGGCAGTTTGCTTCTCTGAGCTGTGCTGTATATTTTGTTGGGGAAATACACAAGCGTTAAAACTTCAGAGTCAAGCTGGACGTGCTGGCATTTTTCCCAGGGCTCCCTTCCCAATCCTTCCCCTCCTTTGCCTTGATCCCTTTGGGCGGGGTCTCCAAACCTGGCCCCTTTAAGACTTCTGCACTCCCAGAATTCCCCCAGCCAGCTTCGATTTCGGACCCTTTCCATTCAGGGATCAGGGGGTTATTCCCCTCTCCACCCCAGAGAGAAAGCTTCCATACCGGTGTTTTCACAACCTCGGGGAAATCAAATTTGAAGGGTTCAGACAGGGGGAGGGGACATGTTCAAGGAGAAGCATAGTCTCTTGCTGGCCTACATCAAGAAAAGATTACAGGTTGAGAATCCCAGATTCTGCTCGGTGCCTGGTGAAATTGACTAGATGGGAAAGTGAAATTGACTAATTTGCTCTTTGTAAGAACTGGAAATTGACGGGGGGGGGGTTCAGTTTCAATTCGGCCGGGGTTCCAGATCTCGAGCAATCTGCTTTTCCTTGAATTTTGCTTCTTCCAAGTCACGATTTGCAAAAATGGCAACCTACATCTAAATCAGGGAATGGATGGTTGGAAGCAAAGCCTCTTTGCGGTGCAGAAAATTAACAAAAGGGGAAAGAGCCAAAACGGGAATATCTCTTGCTGGCTGGGAGATTCTGGGGGTTGAAATCCACACACCTTAAAATTTGCCAACTAAAACCACAGGGTCTGCGTCCACGGAGCACCCCTCACCAGATCAAGGGAAGATGGTTTGCCTTCACACCAAAACATAAAAGCACAAAGGCTAGGGAATTCTGGGAGTTGAAGTCCACGCCTCTTAAAAACCACCAAGATTGAGAACCATTGCTCCGCGCAAAGGCAGCCTCTTTTATTTTGAAAGTGTGCGACGTTTCTCACCCGCCTTCCCCAGCTTCCCAGCCTTTTTCTGCACGGTGGCTATTTAGCGAGGAGGGGAGGATTCCCTCGTGGACCCCCAAGGAAGCATGGAATCCGGTCCTTTAAAAAGGGAGTTGGGTCAGAAGTGGTAGCTGCCAGGCAAGCTGGATCTGGAAGCTTCCTGGCCAAAACAGTTCCTCCTCTCCAGCCCACCTGGAGGAAATGAAGAGTAACTCCATGCATTGTGGGATTGGCTAAGATTTGGGGGTTTTTTCCCCCACGTGGACCAGGGAGTTTTAGATCTCCCCCAAAAAGGAAGGATGAAAACGCTACACCCCACTACCAATTTCAGTATTTCGGGCCAAGGAGCCAAATTCTATTTAAATCACACCTTCAAAACATTTTGGTTGAAAACAGCCCCCAACACCACCCCCAACACCCCCAAAAAACCCCAAAACACACTCCGCAAAAGTCTTTCCGATTTGTTCGTTTAGTTTTCTTTCCAGTCAAGTCTAAAAGCAAATAATATTGTTTTAGATCTCTCGGTTGAAGTTTATGGGGAATACATGACCGGCCCTTCTCCCCACCCTCCAAGTGATTTGAAAAAGGGGGGGGGGGGTCCCCAGTTTCTGCTATAGGTCTTTCCTCCGTTTCTAATTCAACCGTACATCTGTAGTTTTATTTTATTTTATTTTATTTATTTTTCTTGGCTCCTTGCAAAAACTTGTCAATCCTGTTTCTCCAAAATGGGAGGGCTTGAGGGGGGGATTCCAAGAAACTGCTTTGTTTACTCCATTTTAAAGGAAAACCCACCCACCCCCTTTTTTCTTTCACAGAAATCCCAGCCTGAGGCTGATTTGAAAGGGGCAGGTGGCAACTTCAAAGGGCGATTCCCAGAAAGTAGTGGATTCCACCCTCCCCCTCCCCCCCCCAACTGATCTGTTTGAGGGATCCTCCATACTCTCTGAGCTTGATGGTTTTTTTGCAAGACGTTTCACAACCCAACTAGATAACGTCAGCAGTGTGAGGAGAGTGAGGTTGGCAGAGAGGAAGAGGAGGAGGAAGACAGTGACGACTGGGGGGCCCTTGATGCTCTCTTATCTTAGTGGTTTTCTTGCAGAGGTTTCATTGCCCAACTAGCTTTATATCATCAGTGCTAGAAGCAAATCCCACTCCTTTCTAGCACTGATGGTGTCACCTAGTTGGGTAATGAAACGTCCTCAAGGAGAAAAAAAAAGAAGATCCAGCTCGGACCCCTCATGTCAAGCCCGAGCTACAAATATTCTCCTCTTATCCACTGACCTCTTTCCCTAGCTTGACCGTAGCCTACTCTAGAGCAAGAAGTCCAGCCTTCTCGCAAATTGCACTCGGAATGGCCATGCGCACACACACACAAAAACCCCAACGCCTTTTGAAACTCTGATCAAAGCAAGCAGCAGCTTCTCCAGGCAAGCTTGCAGATTGGGGGGGGGGGATTTTTGCAAACTCTGCATGTGTCTACTTGCCCCCCTCCCCAGGGAGGAGACCTCCCCTCTCCTCCCTTCCCCCTCAAAACGTCCATCTTTGCCTGTTTCTGTTGAACGCCAAGGAGCGGCGGTGGCTGCACCTTCCATTAAATAGGATTGGCCTCTTTCTCTGTGTGACCTAGCTTTTATTAATTCCAGGGAGTCTTCAGGGCCCACCTCGGCGTTCCTTTGGCTGGTCTGACGGTCAGTGGCTTTTAAACCACCTCTTCCTAGATGTTATAGTACAATAGGGTTCAAGATCTTGCCCCCACGCCCACGAGTCCACCCCATGGTCCAATCTTCCACTGCCACGCTGGCAGCTTCCACCCATCCAGTTCTGGTCAGGTGCAGAGGTGAAAAGACAAAGGATGACCTTGGCTTTCTAGAAAGAATGTTGTTACGGCTCCATATCGTCTAACTCTGTATAATCCCCCCCTCCCATTTGCCCACCATAGAAAATGCATAGTAGAATAATAGAAAGTGTTGCAGGCCAAAGATCCACAAGATGGCGAGATACACACACACACCACACACACATATATGTTTTCTGAGGTTTTCGCGGGTGTTAGTATGTAGGTCTCTAGTTAGTATGTAGGTCTCTAGTTGTTCGGGTTTTCTCCCGCGTAGAATTGGAGATGTCTTGGCGACGTTTCGACGAAGTCACATTCGTCATCTTCAGGCTGCTGCTGACTACTTCAGGTTTGGTGTTTCCAGGTGTNGCACTCTTTCCGGAGTCTCTGTGTGTGTCCATCAGCCGCCAGAACTTTGAAAGAACCAATTTTGGGTGTTTGGCTTCTGACTGGCCTTGACCGCCATTGGCATCATCCCGGGCTCATGAGACCACGATCTTTCCTTCCGACCTCTGGCGGAAAACGCCCATTGAGTCAAAAGGATTCCTTTTATGATGGCCGCCGTGTTCGGTTCACAACCGCCACAGGAAAGGTCGTGAAATCAATCGCGTGGTGAATGGCTTAACAATCGCCATGACTTGTGGTCACAACCCCAGTTATGGTCGTAGGTCGAGGATTAACGCTGAGGTTCTGGTTGACCGCGTTGTGTAGACCGCTCCACTTGGGATAAACTGGGTTTTAAGTTCAGACCCATAGCAAGTTCGTTCTCTTTTCTCCCGACAGTTTCTCCTGAGGGCTTTCAAAGAAACCCACACGGGCCAACTGTCTGCAGCCATAGCAGAGTGGGAAAACGTTCTTCTCCCCTAGAGAGGCATAATGAAATGGGAGGAGGGGAGCCACGTGTGGGTGTTTTTACACCACTGGTTACCACTTTGGGCTCCCGTTAGTCGTGGGGATGGGCCTCAAGGTTAACGCCGCTTCCTTTTCCCCTCCAGATGAAGACAGGGCCCTTCCCTGAGCACTCCAACCAGCTGTGGAACATCAGCGCCGTCCCTTCGTGGTCCAAAGTCAACCAGGGGCTCATCCGGATGTACAAAGCCGAGGTGAGGAAAGGCAGAGGAAAGCAGGGGGGGGGGGGGGGAGGAAACAGCACCTCTCCATCCAGATGTCCATTCTGGGTCAGACATCTGTCCGACCTTCAGGCTGACTATGAACGTGAAGAGCTGGCATTTGTCAGTCAAACCTGGACCTGTCATGAAATGAAAGACCAGACAGAACCAGTTTGGTCTAGTGGTGAAGGTGCCAGGATAGGAAGTGGGAGGCGGGGAGTTCTAGCCTCGCCTTGGCCGTGAAAGCCAGCTGGGTGGCTTAGGGGCAATCGCCAGGAGTCGGGGAGTTCTAGTCCTGCTTTAGGCCTGACTGGATGATTGGGGGCCAGTTTACCCTCGGAGGCCTGAGGTCCTGGACTTTTTGCCTGGTGATTCCAGACCGTGATGGACGGCGGATGTCAAACCTCTGTCCCCCTTCCCTTTCTTTCCCCTTCTTTTAGTGCCTGGAGAAGTTCCCCGTCATTCAGCACTTCAAATTCGGCAGCCTGCTTCCTATCCAGCCTGTCACACCTTAAAGGAGCTCTGTTGGTGATGGGACCGAGGGGGGGGGGGGGGGGGTAAAGTAAACTACCATTTACTCCAGATGCAGGATCAGTGAAATTGCATAGTTAGTAGAAGGGCTTCCTGTCCTTTTTTCAAATCCCCCCTCCTCTTAATAAAAAAAAAAAAAAAAAAAAAAAAAAAA